GTGTGTGTGTGTGTGTGTGTGTGGATGACCTGAAATACGTGGGTTGGAATGACGAGATGTTTTTGCTCCAATAGGTTTTATGTTACCGAAGATCTAAATCTTCTCTGCGCAGTCGTTGACACAGCGGTTTCAAACGACTGTCGTCCATCGCTGTTCTAAGCCACACTGATCAAGTAAGTGTCCCCCTGTCCGGTCCTGTTTATGTAGATTTCCGCGTATTCACATTTAAAGAGGGTGAAATACAGTTTGATTTGACCGAATGGGCGATGGTTCCTCCACTGATATCGTTAATATCCGAGTCGTAGTGATGACAATCACCGGGTCAACTGCATACAAGAAGCGCGCTTGATGGCAGAATTCAGTGGCTCACTAGCCAATTCAATCACATCACCGCCTTTGTATGCAAACTTTAGAAGAGTTTTCATTTTCGGGTCAGATATTGGTTTTTCTACTTTTGGTGTTCCTTTACAATGGTTGGCGATGAATGCAACTGGATATTCGTTCGCGTGCATTACTTCTTTTAAGGCGTCCTTTGTGCATATTTCACTCGTTCGATGCAATATGATATGATATGATATGATATGATATGTATCGCTGTGGTGATCCTAGCTTACAGGATGGTGAAAACCACGGGGCGACACGTTACAGTTTTCGGACAGCTGTGAAGAGTCAACCTTCCCAGATGACGCCAGTAAAGCTCTTACGCGTTACAGCTTCTAGACTACGAACCATAGACCGATTGTACCAACCAATCAGAAGCCATGTGGCCCAGACAAAAGCCGTAGGACCCCAGGAATACTGACACGCGATTGGCCTAGGCTTGGATGACCAATGAACTTCGTTTGTATTTATTATTTAGACCTCATTATTTCTTTCAATAAATGAACTACTACTCCCATGGCCCTTCCCTTGCGTCTCGTTTACGTGGAATACCGTCGTGCAAGTGCCAGTGTGATTCAGTGCTTCCGTGGCGTCCGTGATTTCTGATACGTGATTCGTAACTCGTGATCAGTGATTAGATCAATTAATACAATTGTACGAAAGTGAAGCTCGTGAAATGCAAATATTACCCAGATCACATAATCTTTCGGAAGGCAGACCTTTAATTGATCCGCCTGATCAACGAGTAACGTTTATATCTAAAAAGACACTGGGCGCGATCATCCCGTTCATCGTAGCGAGTTAACTGAATGTTGAGGTGAATCGTGCTGGATCGGTGGACTAGATTTTCTCCATCTTCTTTGATGTTGCTTATGGAGAAGATAACATCAAAATAGCAATCGAAATTTGCCGAGGCTCTAACCATTCATACTCTCAAACTCAATCTTTGAAAACAACACCAATGGTTTATCACATTAGCTTTGCATTGGTGATCGACCCCTACCCTTTCACACACACACACACACACACACACACAAACACACACAACTTTTTAGTGTTGTTCTCTCGTGCTTTTGCAAATTGAGTTTGTGGCTTTTCTTTTGGATGTCCAACACACCCCACCCCGTCGCGCAGGTAATGTTCGTTTGAGTGGGCAAGTTCACCTTGATACTAGTCACACAGACAAATAGATGAAAAATTCGTTCAGCGTTTGACGGTGCGATCGGTTATTGACAACGGAAGCTCGTCACAATCAAATTAAAAGCTTGCAATTGTCAAGTGAAAAATTCGATCANTGAAAGCAATCCACTTACCACAATACACACACACACACACACAAGAAAGTGTGAAACAAATAAACAAACAGAACAGAATACAGTTGTTCACTGTTTTTGAAATATCGCTTCGAGAACTGACGTATATCGTTTGATTACTAAATGTTATAAGCTGCTGGTTCATGATGTGTGTGTGTGTGTATGTAAAAGGTTTGGTTGTCAGCATTGGAAATTGATAAGGGGAACGCAGTGTGAAAAATGTGTGTGAACTGCATACGATGAAGAGGGATAAAATAGATGTGAAGTGGTGAAAGGATAATGAGGGTTCGAAAAAAGGGGAGTTGCCGTTTCAGGGAACTCCGGTTCGGTCGCTGTGAAGTGCGTCGACTACGACCAGCCTTGAGGAGCTTTTAAACGAATCCCGCACACAACCAAGTTACTACTACTGGTTAAACCAGAAGACTTGTGGTTTCACGGAGACGTTTATTAAATTACCGTGGCTTCATGCTAACAAATATCTGACTCGAAATACGAAGACAACCGTGACTACCGAGCGCGATAACGTGCAAAAACGGATAGAAAGCGAAAAGTGTGGCTCCCGGCAAGGAAGAATACAGCCTATTGTCCGAATATGTCATCATTACCCATTGTAAGAAAACACAAAGTAGCGAACAAGCTCATTTGCCATGATTCTTCTACAGGCTAATACATCACAGTTTTTATCAAACTTTTTAGTAGGAGGGCACCACCTGGCCTGATTGAACGGTGGAGTAATAAGGGCCACTAATAGCTTAATCGTTTCACACCTAGTGGAATCAAACCACGTCCTTTCGATCCCTCTACTTGGTTCCCAGCCGTCGATCTGAGAGGAGGATTAGGAATCGCATTTTACACACAGCGGAATTTGATCGGANTCCAACCATATAATCCTCCCCCCCCCGTGTGCTCTCAAAAACAATTTCGTAAGAACACACTCGGTCTTCCACGGTCAATATCCCACACACGACACATTCATCTCCTCACTCATTCCTAATGACCCGAACCAGTGCGCATGGGTGAGGACCAAAGTGTGAGCAACATCATCCGGTCATGGAACTGGAATGTTCATTATCTCTTTTCCAACTTGTCAATACAGCTTATGGTAACTGTGTACAATAAGCTTCACAATGCATTACTACGGAGGTAGAACACGCGGTGGGATTGTAAAGGAAACGTGATATTCGGCAAATGATTGATATTTTCCGGATTTAACCATACAATCGGTCACAATACAAGTTTTTTGACCATGCTAATAGCAGGGTTTGAATCAGGTGATAATGTTTGCACAATCCTTATTGTTATGCGTTCCACACTGGTCAGGATCTTCGTACACAATCCTTTGGTGGGTTCTTTGAGGATACCTGTAAACACTGTCTATGGGTCAATCTTCTATCCACTGTCAAACGGGTGTTGCGGGATTGAACCGTTTTATGTTCATCACAGTTCCTCTCAGATGAGCAGCTGTACAAAGTCCAATTTTTGTCCTGGACCAAATCCGTGTCGGTTCCGATATAAGGAGCCCTAGAATCACACGTAGACTGATCTAGAATAACGGATTGAGACTAATGAGGCGATTCATCCTTAAGTTGTTGGTGTCATGGTCTTCGATACGAGCTTCGAGAAAGCAGATGGTAATCACAATGGTTTTTGATAACTGATGATGTTCCAAGATTTTCTATGATCTCTTTCCTTCTCTGCTTCAATGTCGTTTGTTTCCTATTCTATAGATGTCGTTGAACAAAAGCTTCCGGGTGTCCGGCTTCCGTTGCACCGAAAGATGTCTCTAATTTGGATCAACCGATTATCTAATACCTACGGATTACCAATTCCCCTGGCCCCGTAGACTCGAAAGCTCACGAAAACCCTTTTGTCCGGAATACCTTCCGCTCTGCAGGGATATTGACGACGCCCAGAAAGGCGAGAAAATAATTCCTGTCTACCTCCATTACACATGCACTCTCCTTTTGTGCCTAGTTTATCTATTTTTCGACCCTGAAAATTGTATTTGCACAAGTCCATTTAAAAGCGGCTTCGACTTGTCGGAAATGTATTGAGTAATTGAACTTCAT